TCAGCTTAAATATTTTGCAAAGCCTTTTATAATCTTCGGATGATGAGTTAGGAGAATTATAAATGCATCCGAGAGTCGCCTTTTGCCGGAGAGACAGGAAAATGGATGCATAGCAGTAATTGCCGGAGAATGACGCGGCATCTAGATCGAACGGGAAGTTGTAGGCCCTTCGCCTCACCTGTACGTTTTTGTTTGAATAAAAAAATATTTTGGTTTCGCCGCACAACCCGAAATACACACTTCAGGTTTCCACTGCACGTGGCGTGTTCTAAGCATTTCTTGCTTACACTATTGCATCTCTCACAGTATTCAAACCTCACCGGCCGCTGTTATCTTCGCCCGTCAACGACACCTTTCTCTGGTGATCATCCCCGGGCTCAGGATCAACTAACGATGATTCGAGCGCGTGTTTTTCTTCGCAACTATTCCAACTTTGAACGGACGAGCTGGGATCGCAACGTTATAAATTCATCCTTCCGCAAGTGAATTCCCTGGCTACTGCACTCAAGGATCGTGGGGATCTACTTAGTTGTATCGTTTATTCACGTTATCACTTTTATACATTTTTCCACCTTTTTCCACTAGCGTAGTGCGGTAATTTAGTTACTGCAAGTTAGCCCTACACTAGGAAGTTTTCGTTGCGTCTCTCCTTATAGTTTTTTATACATTTTTTAAGTTTGGGCGCTTTAATATATAGAAGACAAACACCGCCACGCTCACTAGTGCGGTCTTGACGGTAGAAATCATTATTATCTATTAGAAGTAAAGCATCAGAAATTAGCGGATGAGTCCCCGGTTCTAAAATGAAAGGAATACTTAACGTGACTGACTGGAGCCCTGCCTACTTACTCTACCCGAACGACGCCTGGTGCTTCTTTAGGAACTTAATTCAGCAATTAGTAGAGGACTATTGCCCGCCTAGGAAAAGCTTGCGCGTCTCCAGGCCGGAATGGGCGGCACCGATCATAAAAAGGAACATCAAGAAGAAAAGAGGAATATGGAAAACATATTCTAGATATCAACAACCCGAACACTTCTCTGAATTTATGAAACAGCGAAATATATGTCGAAAACTAGTAAGAAAAGAACGATTGGCCTTTGAGAAAGAACTAGTCAAGGGAATAGCCAACAACCCAAAAATATTATTTTCTTACGTGAATAAGGCATTCCCATTCACTGTCTGAAAGGTAATCAGGGAAACAAGTATGCCGATAACTCAGATAGGGCGAACCTCTTGTCTAAATACTTTATGTCTGTGTATACCGAGGAGCCGACTTTTGACGAGGATGTACAGCGGCATATTGTCCCAGCGGCGCATAAAATTAGCACGGTATCGTTCACAACAGACACAGTAAGAAAAGCCCTGAGACAACTACAGCCCATTAAATCGCCTGGTCCGGATGGCTTATCAGCGAAACTTCCGAATGAGCTCGCAGAACAAATGGCCTCCCCAGTTTCTAAGATCTTTAAAAGTTCGATAGAGAAGGGAGCTCTGCCTACTGACTGGAAGCTGGCCAACATAACCCCTATTTACAAAGGAAGAGAGAGAACATCGCCTAATAGCTTTAGGCCAGTTAGTCTCACAAGCATTTATTGAAAACTAATGAAGAAAGTAATCAAAACGGAACTAATGAGAGATATTGGGGAGAACAACTTGATAAACGCAGCGCAACACGGATTCCGAAATGGTCGACCTTGTCTCACTTACCTCCTAACATCCATAGAAACCTGGACGAATTATTTGGAAATGGTTTCGTCGGTCGATGCGATCTACATTGATCTCAACAGGGCATTTGACAAGGTTCCACACAGACGACTAATATCGAAGCTGCATCAAATGGGTGTGACTGGAAATCTACTCAAATGGTTAGACCACTTTCGAACAGGCAGGCGTCAGCGTGTTTGTATTGGAAACACCAAGACAGAATGAAAACAATTTTCAGTGGGGTTCCACATGGAAGCGTTCTGGGCTCCATTGTACTTCTGGTCTATGTGAGCGACTGCCTTGACTGCCTCCCCTGTGAGAATGTCATGTTTGTAGACGATCTAAAGATTTGGAAGTCAATTGAAAGCTCGGAGGATGGACAAACCTTACAAAATGACTTGGATTGCTTGCAAAAATGGTGTGAAAAGTGGCTACTGCTGCTCACTGTCAACAAATGCAAAGTCATCCGCCTACGGTCTGGTCACAGAAAGGTGATACCATTTGAGTACGACTACTTGATCAGAGAAAACCAACTCGGGCAAGTGAACAAACTACGGAATCTAGGTGTATATATGACGCCCAACCTCAAACCGTCAACCCACTGTTCCAAAACCGCAAAGAAGGCTATGGGCATTCTAGGGGCGATCAGAAGGTCCTTCCTCTATTTTGATAAGGAGCATTTGTTCGGCCGATGTTAAAATTTTGCGTCCAGGTGTGGTGCCCCTAGATGAAGAAAGAATACACAGTGCTGGAGAAAGTCCAAAGAAGGGTTTACCAAATTACTCAGCAGCTAAGGATGCTTATCATATGAAGGTTTCCTAGATAGGCGCAATTGTTTTCCCTCTCTATTATAGGCAATACAGAAGAGATATGATCATGGTGTTCCAACTCGCCAGGGATTACACTGTGCTCTTTAGATGGCTGACTTCTTCGAATTTGCACATCTCCGAGGTCATCCATACAAACTGAAGGAACACCATGCCAAACTAGAATTGCGGGCAAATTTCTTCTTCCACCGGGTCATTGAAGACGGGAATAAACTTCCTTCCTCATTTGTTCTGGCTGAAAGCATTGACGTATTTAAAAGAAGACCCGATCTTACTTTACTTGCTGGTCATACATTTGGTAGACAACAACTATTTATATATTGCATATATGGCTTTGAAGCGCGTGCATGATCTGACAGCATCTACATGTAAATTGGGTTTTCAAAGGCTCTGCCTATCTGCCTTTCTGCCTCTGGCAACTTTGCTCCTCCAGCACAAACGCCAAACGACGAATTCCTAAGCAGAAGCACGAGAACTTCTGAGGATACGAAAAATAGAGGATATTGTCATCTTGCCCGCCGATAAAGGACGCTTGACGCTCGTCATGGATAAGGCTGAGTATGAGGCAAAGGTGGACAACCTCTTAATTGACAGGAAATCCTATGTATCATGGACAGCGATCGAGTTAAACAAACTCGTGAACAGTATAAACAAGACGGCTGACAAGCTCAGAAAGTTGGGAGCCCTCACGAGAAGAGAAGCACTGACCACAAAAGTCACTGATGCCGCGATGGCGCGCTTCTACGGCCTGACAAAAGTCCAGAAGCCAGGAGTGCCCCATACGCCCCCTTGTCTCATTACGTGGCACTCCAACATTTGGGCTGCCAAAGTGGCTGTGCCAGCGACTTTCTTTCCTCACCTAGGATTTGCCGTGGACAGTCAAGTCGGCTGGAGAGTTGTTGACACGCATTCAGAATATTGCCGTAGAGACAGACGCGGTAATGGTGTCATTCGATGTGATCTCGTTATTCCCTCAATCCCACTCGCCCTTGCTATCGACACTATCGACGGACTTCTTCGAAAAAAATTTGATGAGATCGAGCAGAAACTCAAACGAGAGCACATCATCGAGCTCCTTGAATTGTGTCTTAGTGCATTATTCACCTTCAATAGCCAAATTTACGAGCAGAAGAAGGGGGCACCAATGGGCTCCCCTATGTCTGGGCTCATTGCAAAAGCACTTCTACAGAAGCTGAAACAGCTAGTCTTCAGCTCGGAGCCCCAGAAGTTCTGGGCCCGACACGTCGATGACACATTCGGCATACTAAAGAACCATGTGCAAACTTGCAAGGCGTCTTTAAATTTAACCTGTTCCGACATCCATTTTACCATGGAAGAAGAAGTCAACGATCAGTTGCCCTCCTTTGACGTCCGAGTTACAAAACTGGCAGGCGGGAAGATAAGGACGACGGTCGACCGTAAAGCAACTAACACGAGGCGCATTCGTCACTTTTAAAGCAACCATCTGGCTGGTCACAAACACAGTTCTATCAGAACCCTCTTCCGACGTGTTCAAAAACTCTGTAGCGACGACAGTGGGAAGCAGGAGCCGATGAATTACTTCCACGCCCTTTTCAAAGCCAACGGTTATCCGAAGTTCTTCATCTTGGTCATTGCCTTATGAAGACAGACTGACCAAACTTGATCTTTTCCCTCTCAATTATAG